TCCAGGAGAAGGCAGGGCATGGGAAAGGCCAAGACTGACAACCTACATCCAGGTGACAGAGTGTACCTTTACTATCAATGCAACATTTCCACAATGCCACCTCATTGGTGAATTGCGATGGGGCGCAATCAAATGCACAACCCAACGTGCATGTCCGCCTGCATGTGCGAGGCCCATGCACCTCCTTGCATGGCAGTGAGCAATGCACCTATGCAACCATGTACAATGGTACCACATGTGGAACTCCACTGATGCAACTGAATAGGACTGTTCCTCACTAGAGGAAAAATTCCCCACCACTTCCATAGGGGAAATTATGCATGTCTAAGGCACATTGGCACCTGCATGCACAGTGGCATGGCATGTGCAGTTTTGGTTCTCTCAACTTGAACTGAACGCCAGTGTCCAGTCTCAGTCATTTCTGTAGGGAGTGTAGTGTGGTATTTTGAATGTTGGACTGGGACTCTGGAGACCAGAGTTTGAATCCTTACACAACCATGGAAACCCATTTGGGTGACCTTGGACAAATCACACTCTCTCATCCTTGGATGAAGGCAAAAGCAAAACCCTCTCTGAACAACTCTTGAAGGTCACCAAAGGTCAGAAATGACTTGAAGGCACCCAACAGTAAGAACTATCTTATGCATGTGTAAAACACTAATGCGATTTTGATCATGGTTTTGTGAAGGCCATTCAGCTGTTTTAGGATGATTGGCTGAGATCCTGCAGAGAAGAACTGTAACATATCTTCACATCCATGGACCATGGACCAAATGTTCATTGCACACAATGTACAATGCATGAACCATGCATAATCATGCAACCAATGTCCAATGTCCAATGCACAGTGATGTGCAACACTACCACTTGCACAGCTCAACATCTGTAACCTTCAGCTGCATGTAGATGTTACTCATTGACCAAAAATGTATAATCATGTGTGTAAGGGAGCCTGTATATACATAAGATAAAACAGGGTGTAAGCTGAGGATATTTCACCATCTGGTCAGTCTGATGTCTTTTGATGGACTCAGCTACTATTTTGAGCCTGGGCCATGCTTTCTCCCTGGTTTCCTTTTCAAAACGAAAGTGCTAATCGTGCCTCTCCCATACATTCTCCTTAGCCTCCTCTTTGTCAGTGCAACTGCTCTGGCAGAATAATCTTGATGTGCTCCGGTCCAAGTGGCATCCTCTCCCCGCCCTTTAATTGAAAGCCCTGTGGAGGATGCAGTCTGCTACAACTTAATAATTCATTGCCCCCTGATTTTGTGTCCTTGTAAAATCTCCATTAGGCCTGTATTTGTGGTTAGACCCAGAACAGCCTGTCCTGTTTGTCTGAAGAGCTTTGCTGCCTTTCCCTTCTCTCCATCCACAAAGGGCATGTAGGGACCCATCAGCAAGAGCAGCTGCTGTTAGGTCTGGTGCCACAAAATCCCCTCAAAGCCTACTTTTGGTGTGTGGGGAGGAACCTCTGCATAAGTACGTTAAAAAGGTATTGAGAAACCCAGGCATGAAGAATCCTGGGCTGGTGATCCTTGCAGTTTGAGAGTTATTCTGTGCAAAATTTGTATATGGTTGTTTTGTACAGAAAACAACATTTTCTGAGCATGAAGCTGCATTTTCTACAGAGAAAATAATATTTCTAGGTAGAAATACTGTATGGTCTTCTGCACAGAAAAATGCTTCTGTTGGAGCATTCTGCACAAAATGTGCACTGAAAACAACATATATAGTTTTTCAAAATCTTTTACACAGCAGCAGGAAAACTGCAAAAATTACTTGTTGCTTCCTTTGAGAAGAAACCTGGTGACAAATTACATCCCTAGATGGAAGTCAGAGTCCAGAATCATGTTTGTGCTATATGTGTGTGCATAAGCATTTTTGTCCAACACAGAATAATTGTAAACTTAAACACACTGAAGGCATCAGATCCTGCCTGACCTTGGAAGCTAAACAGAGTCAGACCTGGGGAGTACATGGGTGAAGGAATACCAAGGAATACCAGGTGCTGTAGGCTATATTGCAGAGGAAGGCAATGGCAAACTACCTCGGAGTATTCCTTGCCTTAAAAATTTGTATTAATTCATGGGGTTACCATAAGTTGACAGGTGACTTCACACAGTACCATTGTGCATATTTATTGTGTTTGTAATAAGGATCATGCATTTGGATGCACATTGGGGCATGCATGCAGCTGCGCAACATTGCCGTTCAACCCAAGGGCCATGTACAATCATCTATCCATAGCTATACATGTGCCGCTTTCTGCTACAGAACTCTGAAGTTAGATCTCAGCCAGAAAGGGGGGGGGGGAAATCAAAATACAAATACGATGATCTGGACAACCTGACAGACTCCCTGTCTTTGAAAATGATAAATGAACATCTTATTATTCCAAGCCCTGTTTTGGCCTTTGCTCTGGCATTTGGATGGTTAGAAAGGTGAGCCTTTGTCTAATGGAGGGGCACAGAGACTGCACCCCTAAGTGACTCCCAAACGGAGATGGGCAAATGGAAAACGAGTCCAGATTTCAGAGTGCAGATTGAACGTGTTCCCTCTTGCTGGTGGCTGTAGTCATCACTCAGTGCTGTTTGATCCCTCCTGTTTGCACAGTCCTGGCAGCTCTCCTTTGCAGTGTGCAATTTCCTCCTTGCTGTCGGGTAAGCCCCATTCCTAAAGTGATCGTCTTACTCGGAGACTCTTGAGAAGCCAAAATACCCATATCATTACTCCAGCTTACCAAATGTTATTCGCTGTGCTAATAGCCTTGCATCCTCCACGGTGGCTCTTCCTGCTCCATTTGGCTTGGATGGGTGTGCAGTCACCAGGTTGCCCCAATGCATTCCAAAGAAAGCATAGTTAGTGGCTTGCCTCGGCTCATTCAAAATAATTCACAGTTATTGGATTGCCCCAATGCATTCAAAGTAATGCGCAGTTCTCAGATTGCCCCAACACTTTCAAAATGATAAACAGCTATTGGGTTGCCCCAATGCGTTCAAAATAACACACTGTTTTGGGGTTGCCCTGATGCATTCAAGATAATGCACATTTATCAGATTGCCCCAATGTATTAATGCCTTGCTGAACTGAAACACCCTGAATTCTTTGCTATTGGGCATTGCTAGCTAGAGGTTTTGGGTGTTGCGGTCCAGTGCCACATAATTCCCATCTCTGCTCAAAATGGATCTTGGCTGTTCTTCAACCCAGAACCACCAGGAGAAAATATTTTCCAGTGCTTGATCTGGACCAACAGTGTGGTATTGCCAACACCTGACCTCTCCGCCTGCCCTCTGTGAAAAAGCCATGTACCTGTCACAGGAGAAGAAGCCGCAAGACTAGCGCAATTGCCTTACTTATCAAAATGCCCTGGGAATTATGCAGAAAGTAACCTTTTAGTTTATTGCTCCTGTTTCCATCTTAGAAATGTCCTTCAAAATGCCAGGCTGTAGTATACGGTTCTTCACCACCACCCCCAGTCTCCTCAGTGATGGATTTTGTTTTATTTTTATTTTATGTAGATATAGACTGCAGTCTTAAGCATACTTACCTAGTAGTAATTCTTTTTAAGCATCTTTTCATTGAATTCTGTATTAGAAGAAGCCAACATCATTTATTGGAAGTAAGGTTCCAATTTTCTCTCTTTCTAGGTCACCCTATAACCAAGTTCTTCAGGCTGGCTTAAGTGAGGAATAAAAAACTATATTAATATTCAGTGACACGGATATGTAACAAGGAAATGTTAATATCTATGGACTAAATCCAATT